CTGGAATCATACGTGTCAGTTAGGATCATTATTATTTAATTGCTCTTAATAATTTTATAGAATAAGGCATTAAGAAAACCTAAAATTATTCTTCTAAGTAAAAGTGATTTATTATTTTGAAATACATTTATAAAGTATACCCTTACTATTTTGAAAACTACTTATAAAGTGTACCCTTAAAGTTAATGTATTCTATTTAACTCTTCTTATGTACAATAGTTACCTAGACAGTTGTACTATTTTAGAGTCAAAACTTTGGTTCTTTTTTTTAAAATAATGTGGTTTTTTTTTTAATTTTTAAATTTATTTTTAGAGAGGGAAGAGAGGGAGAGAGAGAGAAACATCAATGTGAGGTTGCTGGGGGTTCTGGCCTGCAACCCAGGCATGTACCCTGGCTGGGAATCGAACCTGGGACACTTTGGTTCCCAGCCCGCGCTCAATTCACTGAGCTACGCCAGCCAGGGCTAAGGCTTTGGTTCTTAATAGGTGACTTAGCTTTAATGGTTCCATTTTAACAAAGTCTATTGCAGTTTTAGCCAAGAGCTTTGAACCACCTACTGAGTATGGTTATTTCTTTAAACCTAAATTACTTGACATATGTTACTGCTTTTATAGTTGAATGTTATGCTATTTAAAATTATTTGCAAAATACTGAAATCTAAGTATGTTTTTTATTGAACTTACTGATATGACATTAGCTAATAAAATTATATAAGTTTCAGATACACAATTCTACAGTACATCATTGGTATATGGTATTGTGTGTTTACCCACTCCAAGTCAAGTCTCCTTCTATCACCATTTATCCCCACTTTACACTCTTCTACCTCTGCCCACTCCCTTTCTCTCTGGCAGTCACCCTACTGTTGTCTGTGTCCATGAGTCTATTTCTTTGCTCAGTCCCTTTACCCTTCTCACCCAGCCTCCAACCCCCTCCCCTCTGACAGCTGTCAGAATGTTCTCTGTATGTATGAGTCTGTCAGTCTCCACTTTGATAGTTTATTTTGTTCATTAGATTCCATATATAACTGAAATCATATGGTAATTGTCTTTCTCTCTGACTGGCTTATTTCACTTAGCATGATACTCCCTAGGTCCATCTATGCTGTGGTAAAGGGTAAGATCTTTTTTTACAGCTGAGTAGTATTCCATTGTATAAATGTACCATAGCTTTTTTTAATCTACTCATCTACTGATGGACACTAGGGCTGCTTCCAAATCTTGGCTATTATAAATATCACTACAGTGAACATAGGAGTGGATATATTCTTTCAAATTCGTGTTTCAGGTTTTTTTTGATATATTCCCAGAAGTGGAATTGCTGAGTCACAAGGCAGTTCCATTTTTAATTTTTTAAGGTAAATCCATACTGCTTTCCACAATGGTTGCACTAATCTGCATTCCCACCAACAGTGCATGAAGGTTCCCTTTTTCCCACATCCTCAACAACACTTGCTGTTTGTTGATTTATTGATGACAGCCATTCTGACAGGTATGAGGTTATATCTTATTGTGGTTTTAATTTTCATTTTCCTGATGATTAGTTGTTGGGGTCTGCCCTGCCTGGTCTCAGGAAGCTGTAACCCCTCGTGACTTAGGCCAAGTGAGAGACCTCTGGACCAGGAGCCACTAATGAGACAAAACTTATTTCCCTGGCATGAACACTGCCTGTTCTGTGCCTGACCTCCTATGCTTGATCAGTTAGCCAATGATGGGTAAGATTTCCCACAGAGGAATCGCCTAAGGCAGGCATGATCCTGAGGAGGCCTCTGGGAAGAGATTGGGGGGCTGAGGAAATGAAGGGGTGATGGACATCAACCCCTGCCCCCTCAGCTTTGTCTAAACCTGAGTCCTTGTTCTGAGTTGTGAGAATTCCAAGACTCCTGGCTGCCTTTGTCTCCTCTGTTGACTCAGGCCTGTGGAAATAACAGGGGCAGTGCAGCCCAGACCAGAGACGGCGGACCCCTGGTGTAATCAAGCCTGGGACATAGAATATGCAAGATCCTGTGAGATCTGTGTTTGCTGGAGGATGATTAGATTAGAATTTGAAGGCACAGACAGGAAACCAAAACTAGTCCTTTGAGCCCTGTTAGTCCTTTCAAATGTTAAAACTCCAAACTCTGCCCAGAATCACAGTGGGGGTTCTGTCTGCACCTTTGAAAGTCACCTACTTCTTTTGATCTTTTCTGCCAGACTGTGAATCCACAAACTAAGTGTGCATTCTTAATAAAAATCTGCTTGGGGATGGAAACGGGGCACTCTCCACTAGAGAGAGTGGCTGTTCCGTCCCTACTTCCCCACAGGACCTGGTTGTCTCTGTGGATGCTTTTCTCGTGTTTGCACGAGCCATCCGCAGTGTTCCACGACCACTGCAGGCCAGAGGTCGGGACAATTAGTGATGTTGAACACCTTTTCACATGTCTGTTGGCCATATGTATGTCCTCTTTGGAGAAGTGTCTTTTCAATTCCTTTGTCCATTTCTTAACTGGGTTGTTTTTTGAAGGTTGAGTATTACAAGTTCCTTATAAATTTTGGATATTAACCCCTTATCAGATGTATCGGGAAATAGGTTCTCCCATTTAGTGGGCTGTCTTTTTATTTTGTTGATAGTTTCCTTTGGTATGCAACAACTTTTAGTTTGATGTAGTCTCATTTGTTTATTTTTTTGTTTTATTTCCCTTGCCCAAGGCAATATATCAGAAAAAAATATCTCTACAAGAAATAGCCAAGATTTTACAGCCTATGTTTTTTTCTAGGATTTTTATGGTGGCCAGTCTGACATTTGAGTCTTTGTCCATTTTGAGTTTATGCTTATATAGGGTGTAAGAAGGTGATCTAGTTTTATTTATTTTTGCATGTATCTGTCCAGTTTTCCCAACACCATTTGTTGAATAAACTATAAGTACATTTTAAAAGTTTGTTTCTAGGGAAAAAAATAGTCCCAGACAATTATTTTATTACTTACAAATTTCACCTGGAACTCAGCTTTCCTGTGCTATATATCACTTCTTTCCTTAATGGGAACATTACATTACACTAATATACTTTTATTTTCTAATTTGGAATCATGTTCTGTTTGGGTTTGTCCCACCAACTTTATCTTTTACTGGGTGATGCCCCTAAAAGTAAGAATCACCTGCAGATAACAAGAAGGTTTGCAACGGACTGCATTACTTGGTGTTGAAAATATCTTATTAATTTTTGTAAATCACAGTTAGTCATTTAAATACATAATCTTTTAACTGAAGAGATGCTGCATAGAAAGTTTGGGGTTAGATATTTGGGGAAAGATAACCAAATAAAAACTTACTAGAATCTCATTATTTAGGTGAATTCCCTTATCAGTATAGGGTTTATCTTCAGGTATGCAGTTGCAGAAACTTTTTTTTTTTTCAGGGATTCTAAGTTAATTATATTCTGAGATTTTTTTTCACTTCAAGCTAACAAAGCTCAAGGAAAACTTTTTATATGTTGAGAAATGGTTTTTCCTTTGTTGTGGTCATCTTTGAGGAGGTAGGTGTCTGTTTGGTTCACATGCCAAGAATGATGCTGTCACACAGATGCTATAGGATAAGAAAAAGTTTATTACTCATATAATAAAGCTTTCTGTGGAGAGCAGGGGAGGCTCCTAAGCAGATAAAAATAGTTTAAGAAAAGAAAAGTAGACTAGCTTGGGTTTTTTTTTTAATTTATGGAGTAAGTCTAAGATGAGGGTTCTCCATATGTGGACCAGGTTGTATTTCCCTCAGGTGACAAAGAAAGTAGCACCCATGTTTTCTTATCACATTCCCCAAATTTGGGGCAGAAGGGTAAATGGGATTGATGGTGCTGTCAGAATTCAAACATTAAAAATGGAGTCAGACTATTATGTCCTTTCCTTTGCTTTAATTGTTTATTCTTGTATTCAACACATTATCTCCTTAGCTAGATTAAGCTAGGTTAAACTCAAGTGTTCTTGACTGGGGAATTATTCTTTCCATTTAAGATGTCATTTTTTTTTGTTGATACTTAATATTTTATTGGTTTAGTTCTTAAAGGCAATCATAATTTTTATGTTATTAGGAAAGTATGATAAGATAACTGGGAATAGTTTAGAATTTTCTCAACTTAATAAATTAGTACATTCATAACTTGCAAAATTGGCTTTCTGTTCTTCCTCAGCTGCCTAGATGCTTCAGTGAATGTCCAGTTCCTTAAATTCTGAAAGCTGTAAGCCACATAGTTGAAATAAGCTACTTACATCTGTTTCTGTGAGAGACTGCCTCTCTGTTGTTTCCAAACTATGTATTGTGCCATTGGGACATGAAGAGGAAAATCTCAGAAAGGAAGAAACTTGAGGGAAAGACCAAAAGCTCTATGTACATATTACCCTCAAGTCCTTGGCCATCTCATGAACTGCACATGCACAGGATCAGACCTTTATAAAGATTCATGTGGTAACTGATTTTTAAATGGGTACAGCTTAGAGATGAGGCAGTACAGTATAAGTATGAAACAATCAAGTGGAAAGACACTCAACACCTGGGCCTCAGACATCATACTAATTTTGCAACCAGTTAAGTGTTAAGTTGAACAGATAATTTAACCACCATGTGCTTACTTCTCCTCTAAAATGTACATGATTAGGAGTTTATTCTACCTTTAAAATAACATGATTTTGTAGTGTAAAGGTGAAGCATTTCCTCTTCTGTTCTCTAAGAGGAGAAATTATAAACAGTAAGATAAATTTTTATAAAATTAAGTTGCTTGAAACCAGTATAGTTAATATTTTAAAGTAGTGGTCATTTTGTCTTTAAGTTCAATGAAAAGTGGTTTGAAAATAGTATAATTTTTCCAATGAATTTTAAGGGTCATCATATCTTGAACATTAACTGTAATTCAATGGACTTCACATTGGAAAATTATGTGAATAATAATACTCTTAAATAAAATATTTGGTATTTTATTTAAAATATTTTAACCTTTATATTTATCTACCTACTTATTTATTTTTATTTTAGATGGGTCTAGGAAAGACAATCCAGGCAATTGCCATCGCTTACTTCTATAAGGAGGAATGGCCTCTTTTAATAGTGGTCCCTTCATCTCTGAGGTACCCTTGGACAGAAGAAATAGAGAAATGGATCCCAGAGTTAGGTCCAGAGGAAATCAATGTTATTCAGAATAAAACTGATGTTGGGTAAGAACAACTTTTTAATCTTTTGGGGGACAAAAGTGCTAAACATTTGTATATACCAAATAAGTCTCTATATTATAAAGTAGATTTATTCTGGGCTTAAAATGCAGTTGTCATTATGAACAAAAACAACAACAAAAATGTGATTGTTGTGTTGGTACTGGCTGTTAAGGAGCTCTTCCATTTTTATTAAAAGGTAGAGAACTGCAGAAGACTGACTCTGTCCTTTATTTTCACTAGTGATATAGAAAATGCAAAGTGACATGGTTTATTTTTAAGGCATTTACTTGTCAAATATGTAATTCTATATACTGATTGGGATCAAAGCACTGAACATACAAAAATGAATAAGACATGTCTACTGCCCTCACCGATCTTAACGATATAGTAATGGAAATAAATATGTAAATGAATAATTAAAGTACAGTATGATAAAGAATAGTATAGATGTATGAATTACAGAGATAGTTCAAAAGATCAGGGTCACTTTAGCCCAATGTTTTTCTGCATGAGATGGTACTTTGTCTTTTCCCCACACTTCAGCATTCTGGGGCCAGGGACATTTTTGTTGTCATGATGACAGGGACTCTACTGTCCATGAATGGGAGGGGCCAAGACTGTGAATTTCTCTGGAGGGTACTAGACAGCCCTGCAATAGTATTGTCCAGCTCAAAATCCCAGTAGCATCTGGCTTTAAAAACTCTGCTATTCTGTTTGTGGGAAGGTTTCATGGAATAGTCAACAAATATTTGAGTATCCACTTTATTCATGATCATAGGTGCATGGAAGCAAATGTTCTCAGAAAATAATGTTCTTATCCTACTAAAATATGGCTTGCTGGATGTCAAAATCTTCCAAAAACCACTTATCAAAAAAATGGATTTAATTAACAATTTTAAATTTTGGATCCATGTTTATTATAGTTGAAGACTATAAAGTTTTAAGAGAAATTGGGTTTCGTTACTGGTACCATCTCCTCTTATTTTTCCTCTTGTTTTTTTTTTTGTATTTTTTACCAAAAGTTTTATTGTTTATGATAAAATGGTTACTGAATATTTTTTAAAGTACATGAATTTTCTTTTCTAGGAGAATATCGACCAGCAAAGTGACAGTTCTGGGTTATGGTCTCTTAACGACAGATGCGGAGGCTTTGATAAACACACTGAATAATCAGAACTTCAACGTAGTGATAGTGGATGAATCACACTACATGAAGTCCAGAAATGCAAGTCGCAGCAAGATTTTATTGCCAATAGTACAGAAAGCCAAACGAGCCATTCTTCTTACAGGAACTCCAGCTTTGGGAAGACCTGAAGAGGTATTAAAATCCCTATAATTTGGGCTTTAAAAACAAAAACAAAAACAGAACATTGAATAAAACACCTATTGTGAAATTTTAAATTAGATGCCTCAAATGGCAGAAGAGTACTTTGGGAATTTCTAGGTGGCTCTTAATGATTAAATATATATTTTACTATGACTTTTTATATATTTACATGTGAACCTTAGCCATGCTTGTGAGTTCCTACTTTTAAAAAAGTTTTTACCTTTATTATAAGGTTTTCATATCTGGTACAAATTTGTAAATAACATTTGTGTTCTTCTGATTGTTCTGTGGCCTTAATCTTCATTCTCTCTAATCTATTCTACATTATAAACTCCTTACGATTGGAGTTGTATCAACTTTTTATCTTTTATTAAGATATATCATATTTTATACTGTATTCTATAATCTCTTTCTGTTTCACTTTAAGATCCACACTTGGGAAGGTAGAAAATTATGGGCAGACCAAATAGTGTATCTGCTTAGAATGTAGGAATAAAGCATTAGATGCCCCACTTAGCTTTTACTACTCTGAGAGGCAGGTGGGGTAAGGAGTGCTTAAAGCATTAGGAAGAAGAAATAATGAATGAAACTCTTATGAGTCTGTAAGGGTCACTGTAATCCAGGGAAGTTCTGTCTATTAAAGCATTTACTTTCAACCCTATTTCAATTTTATTATTGTTTAAGATTTTATTTATTTTTAGAGAAAGGGAAAGGGAGGAAGAAAGAGAGGAAGAGAAACATCAGTGCATGGTTGCCTCTCTCATGCCTCATACTGGGGACCTGGCCTACAACCCAGGCATGTTCCCTAACTGGGAATCAAACCAGTGACCCTTTGGTTCTCAGGCCAGTGCTCAATCCACTGAGCCACACCAGCCAGGGCTCAATTTTAAAAATATACCCTACAAACTCATCTAATAGAAATGCAGATGGATGGACAGATGATAAATAGATGTATATGTAGTACATATAACTATACCTACATATATTAACATATATGTATACACATATAGACCTACATTAAGTTATTAATTTTTATAATCACATAAAAGCTAGAAACAGCCTATATACCCATTAATAAGAGACTGTTTAAGCATTTTACATTACATGTACACAATGAGTTGCTGTGTAGCCTTTAAACAGTGCTTCATTATTGTAATACATTGCTTATAATTTTTAAAACAGTAAGTACTTTAATGATGTCTAAGACATGTTTGGGACAAATTCTAATTGTATAACATGATCCTAGTTATATGAATAAAAGAGAATATGTACATATACTTATCTAGGCATAGAAAATCCATAAATGTGTATTTAAGAAAAGAATGGCAATTATCCCTAGAGAATAGTAGGGCAGGATTGGGGTGCTGCAAGGGAAGGAGGGACCCTGAGGAAGGAGAGGTAGATTTCCTCTTTAACTTTTGACTATTTTTTTAACTGGATTTATTATTGTAATAATAATTTTGTGAGAATGTTATAACACATCGAAAACACTTGTTTCAGCTTTTTATGCAGATTGAAGCTCTCTTTCCACAAAAATTTGGAACATGGACTGACTATGCCAAAAGATACTGTAACGCACATGTCAGGTATGAGAGACTTTTTTCTATAAGCTTTAATCCTCACATGTACTGTGAACATTAAGCTTTATTAGTCATTCCTTGTTCCAGTGTTTTGCAAATTTGTGGTGGCTCTGGATTAATTTCTTCAAATAAATTTTTATGTGATGACCTATGTATTAAATAAATGGATAATGACAGTTTTTCTTTTTATTTCCTTTTTGTTAGCAGTTTCTTGTGTATTTCCTGGAGATACTCTATGCACAAAAAATCACATAGAATTATATGTATAATAATACTTAATTTTTATTTCTACATATTTAGTAGTATAATGTATATACTGTTCTGCAGTTAGCTGTCTTCACCAAATTTGTATTGGAGATCTTTCCAATCAGTAACTGAAAGAGCTTTGGCATTGTTTTTTAATTTTTAATATTTTTTCCTTGTTTAAATCATTTTTAATTTTTCAGTTATAGTTGACATGGAACATTATATTAATTTCATTTGTACACCCTAGTGATTATACATTATATAACTTACAAAATGAACATCTTGATAAGTGTTGTACCCATCTGATACCATACATAGTTATTAGATTATTGGCTACACTTCCTATGATGTACTTTACATCCCCATGACCATTCTATAACAACCAGTTTGTACTTCTTAATCCCTTTACCTTTTTCCCCCATCCACCCTCACATCTGGCAACCATCAAAATGTTCTCTCTATCTATGATTCTGTTTCTGTTCTGCTTATTATTTTATTTTGTTTTCTTAGATTCAATCATTGATAGATATGTTTATGGCCATTTTGTTGTTCATATTTCTGGTCTTCTTCTTAAAGGAGACCCTTTTTAACATTTCATGTAATACTAGTTTGATGGTGATGAACTCCTTTAGCTGTTTCTTGTCTGGGAGGCTCTTTATCTGTCCTTAAATGCTAACTTTGCTGGATAGCATAATTTTGGCTATAGGTCCTTACTTTTCATCACTTTGGTATTTCTTGCCAATCCCTGCTGGCCTGCAAAGTTTCTGTTGAGAAATCAGCTGACAGTCTCATGGGAGCTCCCTTGTAGGTAACTAACTGCTGTTCCCTTACTGATTTTAGGATTCTCTGTCTGGTTTTAACCTTTTGTATTTTAATTATGATGTGTCATGGTGTGGGCCTCTTTGGGTTCGTCTTGTTTGGAATTATCTGTGTTTCCTAGACTTCTGTGTCTATTTCCTTCACTAGGGTAGGGAAGTTTTTTGTAATTATATTTTCAAATAGGTTTTCAATTTCTTATTCTCTCTTTTCTTCTTCCAGCATTCCCATGATACTTGTGTTTGAAGCTGCCCCAGAGGCTCCTTACTCTATCTTCATTTTTTTTTGGATTCTATCTTGTGTTTTTTGGATTCTATCTTGTGTTCTAGCTATACTTGTGTTTGAAGCTGCCCCAAAGGCTCCTTACTCTATCTTCATTTTTTTCTTTTTACTGTTCTGATTGGGTGGAGGGTTTTTTATTTTGTTGCTTCCTTTTATTCCAAATTGTTGATTTGATTCTTGGCTTCATCTACTTTACTGTTGATTCCCAGTGAATTATTCTTCATTTCAGTTAGTATATCCTTCATTTCTGACTGGTTCTTTTTTTATGGTTTCCATGTCCTTTTTTATGATGTCGAAGTTTTCACTAAGTTCATTGAGCATTCAAGTTCATTGAATTCTGCATCCAGTAGACAGTTTGTCTCCATTTTGTTTAGTTCTTTTTCTTGATTTTGTTCTGTTCTTTCTTTGGGATATGTTTCTTTGTCTCCTCATTTTGGCTGTCTCCCTGTGTTGGTTTCTATGTAATTAAAGTTGCTATGTGCCCGAGGCTTTGTAGAGTGACATTATATAGTAGGTGTCCTATAGGTTCCAGTGGCACAGCCTTCCTATTCACCCAAACTGGGCACTCCAGGTACAGCCTGCCACCCAAGTGTGGGCTGTGTATACCCTCCTGTTGTGGTTAAGCCTAGATTGCTGTTGGCACCTCAAAGGGAGGGATTTACCCCCCTGCGGAACAGCTGCAAGGACTGGCTACAGCCACCAACTACCATGGAGGGTCAGATGTGCAGGGCTCTGGTTCCCTGATTCTGCCCCTGAGTGTGTCACTTGTGGAGGTGGTTGGGTTAGTTAGTGCTTTGATGTGGTCTGAAGCTATTCACCAGGTGTGATATCTCTGGGACCTTGCAGGAGCTGCAGGCCAAGGTCAGCCACTGCCTGTGTTCTGCTTGGGGCCACCTAATATGAGCTACAAAGTGACCTTCAGGTGGCTATTACTTGTGCTGGGCTTGGAGGTGCACAGGAGAGGCCAAGCTGTGAACCAAGGCCAGCTGCTGCTAGTGCCAGGCCTAGGGCAATTTAGTGGGAGATACAGGGTTCACTGAGACCAGATGCTGCTTGTTTGAGAGATTTTACAAAAGTCTGAGGCATGAGCCAAGATGGGCCATTTATATGGGCCATCTGGAAACAGCCTGGGTAGGCCTGCAAGTTGGGCGATACGAGGTCTCAAGGAATCTCCAAGGGGTGACGATGGGGGTGAGCCAGGTTGATGCAGCCTACCTGCTGGCTTTGTTGAAGGAGAGCTCATAAAAGGAATGATAACTTCTACTAGCACTTTTACATGGTAGAAAGCTTCCCCCTCAATCTGTCGCCCTGATACCAGACAATTCTGTTCATACCAGTAGGTAGCTGGTACCTTTCAAGTTGCAGTGGAGCTCAGAGGGAGTGAGTCAGAGTATATCCATGCACAGGTCCTTTAAGAGGAACTGCCTGGGACTTTAGAAGCTGTCTGTCTCACTCAGCCACAATCCACACTGGGTTTCACAGTCATAAGTTGTAGGGACTTCCCTTCCTGGCACTGTAACCCTAGGCTGGGAGGAACTGGTGTGGGTCTGGGATCCCTTGCTCTTCAGAGTGGACCTCCACAGCTGTGACACCACACCCAGTTTTTATCTGCTGCATATGGGTATGGGACCAGCCTGCTCTGCATCTCCACCCCTCCTACCAGTCTCTAAGCAGCTCTTTCTTTAAATCCCTAGTTGTAGGACTTCCATTCCACTGGGTTTCAGGTTGTTTCAAATGATAGTTGTTCTGTAGTTTAGTTGTAATTTTGACATGGTTGTGGGAGGATGAGAGTACCATGTTTACCTACACTGCCATCTTGACCAGAAGTTGGCATTTCTTTTAAATGCTGTATGTGATCCACTGTTTGAATGCACTATAATTTGTTTACCTAGCCTTTTGCTAATAGGCATTTGTTTGTGGTATCTAGCTGTTACATACAATGCAGCAATAAATATCGTTGCACATGGTGAAGGGTAGTATAGTGGTAAAGAACATGCAAGACAAGATGTATACCACCTGTGTTTTATTTTCACATCCAGTATTAGATGTTTCATGTTAGGAAAGTAACTTTACCTCCCTATACTTAGTTTCTTCAGCTCTAAAAACAGAGAATAATTATTTCTGCCTCTGACAGTTAGTATGAGACTGACGTGAGATAATATTTATAAAGGCCTTGAACAATGACTGGCAAACAGTGAGCACTCAATTATTGGCTATTTTAATATTTCATATCACACACAGGAATAAATCTGTCAGATGAATTTATAGGAGTAGAATGTGCATTTTTATATTTCATAGATTTTTACAAATTATTCTACATAGAAGTTATACAAATTGATATTCCCACCAGCAGTAAGATTGTCTCTTTCCCCACACTTTGCCAACATGTTCTAATATAAATTATTTTATTCTTGTTAATGTGATCTGATAGTAATTTTAATACACATTTGTTTTCTTTTTTTTTACATTGGTCTTCTTATGTTATTAAATGCACTCAAACATTTTCTCATACATATAAGAATCATTTGTCCTTTTTTCCTGTCAGTTGTTCATGTTCTTTGTCCTTCATTCTACTAAATTTATCGGCATTTTTTTCTTATTGATATAATGGAAATCTTTATATAATATGAAACCAACTATCCAAGGTGAATGCTCAGACAAGATAGTACAACCAAAAAAAAAAAACAAACCACACACACAAGGGCCTTTTCTACTTAAGACTATAATGTAGCCCTGGCTGGTGTAGCTCAGTGGATTGAGTGTCAGCCTATGAAACGAAAGGTCACCTCTTCAATACCAGTCAGGGTACATGCCTAGGTAGCGGGCCAGGTCCCTAGTTTGGGGTGTACGAGAGGCACCAATCCATCTGTATACCTCTGACATACCAATGTTTCTCTCCCTCTCTTTGCCCTTCCTCTTTCTCTAAAAATAAGTAAATAAAAATTTTTTTTAAAAAGCCTGCAAATGTAGAAATCTAAACAAGGACCATTTCTAGTTGAGACTATAAATGTGGAAATCTTCAACATTAGGATAATCCAGAAGCTGATTAAAAGGCTAATATATTAACCATATGCAAATGGAACTCTTATGAGGCATGCAAGCACAGTTTAATATTAGGTAATATATTAATATAATTAACCATGTTAACAACACAAGGAAAATCCTTATCATCTCCATATATGCTGAGAAATGTTTGATAGAATTCAGCATCCATCCTTGATTATGTATAGTCTTTAATAAATTTTAACGTGTATATATGTGTATGATTTTAACTGTATACACAGATATACAATATATATGTTTGTGTATGTGTGTATGCTTTAAGTCCAAAGCCACTGTCACATAAAACAGTAAAATCAAGGCCAGGATGTTCCCTGTCACCAGTTTACCTTTATTCTGGAGATACTAATCAGTTCAATTCCTCAAAAGTAAAGTGAAGTAAATATTGGAAAGCAAAAGGCAAAATTATCGATATTTGCCAGTGATATTATTCTTTTGAAAGACCTAAGAAGATTGGCCAAAAAACCTTCAAAACAAAAAAGAATTAATTAAGGTGTCCTAGTCCAAAGTTTCTATTAAATATTCAGTCTTTCTCTTGATAAATAATAATTCATTTTAAGATATAATGCCAGATAGGCAACATTCTAGTTATTATTGACAAA